CAAAGCCAAGGGGTTTAGCATCCGGCGAGCCAGGTTCTGTTCCCTGTGTTCGTCCCATGTCGTCATCATACTCGAATGACGCTTTATCGTACATGCACACATCGGAAATATTGCTCTCGGCGTCGCTCTCTGGTTCGCTAGCGTGTTCGTCTGTCTTGAAGCAATCGCCGTCTTTCGGATGACGAAGGGAAGTCTGGACAAAATCAATGATGTTGACGGCTTCCCTGCCTCTGTGGCTATGGCATAGTAAGCCAATCAAATGTTCAACAGCTTCAAAGAAGCTCGGCCGCAGTTGCACGGCGCGCAGCCAATTTTGCGAAGCCTCTTCTCGGCGATCGAGGGCTAACATGGTAGCTGCAAGATTGGAGAGAGCTTCCACATGCCTGGTACTTGTTAGCATCGATCATCAGACAGAAACCATCTTTCACTTACGTTGAGTCACGAGCTATGATCCTGGAGTACCATCGCACGGCTTTGTGATAGTCACCCAAGCCATAAGCTAAACAACCACCGAGCAGCATTCCATCGATCCATTCCCAACGGCTTTCTGCACACAAGTCAGATAGCATTGACAAAGCAGATGCAGCATTCGACATAGGCGAGCCCTCATTGAAAAGGGGGCCACGGGCCCTGGTGAAACTCGGCAGTCCCGGAGGACAGCCCATGTCACGCAATCCAAGCATATGAGTATCTGACCCTCTGCTGTGCGCAAATTTATTTAAGGATGGGCGGCGAGTTTGGACACGAGAGAGAGGTGGAGGATCGTTCGATCTGTGGCTGCCCGCGGTATTGGGTTTCTGGCGTTGCAAGTCATGTTGACTAGTCGGGTAACTGTTGTGACGAGTGAGATCGGGTGGAGGAGCTTGTGAAAAGTCGAGCCCCGGTTGCCGCGGGGGCGTGGGGTAGATGTTCGGTTTCAAGAATCGGGAGTAGCCGTCAATCGCAGCGTTACTAGCGCTGTTGCGGCGAGCCTGGTGGATGGTTGCTAGAAGGTCGACATAGACCCCATGAGCCTCAGATAGGACCTTCTCTTTGAAATCCGTGTTCACTGCTACTGCAGGAACTGGAGGTTGGAATCCATGTATTGGGCGACTCGACCAACTCGTGGGCTCATTGTTTAGTGGCTGTGGTGCTGGAAGGCCTGATAGAGGACGATTGGCTCGGGCGTGGAAAGGTAATTGGTCAGAGTGTCGTGGTGGAAAAAGAGGTTTCATCAAAGAGTCGTGGGTGGGCAAACCAGGCACGGAGTGGCCCCATGCAAGTCCCGAATCTGCGTGGCTACTCAGTGAAACCTGGGCTTTATTAGAGATTGACTGGTTGAGATCGTAGAAAGACTGGCTCGTCTGCTTCGTGAACGACGTCGAGGGTTCAAATCGCGCATCACGAAACGCCGCGGGACGATATGGGATATACACTCCATCCGGCCAATATGGACCGAATGGCCCAGTGCCTGCTGAAGCGGTTGGTCCGAGGCACGATTGCAGGGTGGCTGGTAGGACTGTGGGCACATATTGCCCATTTTGTAGGAGATATCGATGGGCTGGCTGCAGGGGCAAAGTTTGATTCAACATGGAGTCAACTCCCGAAGGATAGTTGACTGGACGCACCCAGCTGGTCCCATTCACATCCTGAACGACTTCTCCTTGGATCGTGCCTGTAGGATCATTTTTGAAGACGGGAGGAAAGTTCGTTTGTTTCGTAGCTGTCTGGTCCAATATAAGCTGCCAATTTTCGGACTGCATCCCTTGGGAGGAAATGAACTGGGCCGGTTCCATCGGCGAAACCAATATGTGCTTCGGTGCTGGTGGCTGAATGGTATCGCCAAGGGCGCCATCATACCCCGCAGCTAGGGTTCCGTTGGGGGTTTTCCTCCGCAGGGTGTTTTCGGCCACATTTGCGCTGGAGCTATAGCCGGAGCCATCGCGGGAATCGAGACGTTGAACGGGATGCGGTAGTTGGATGCGTGATCGTGATATTGTATTAAAGGGAGGTTTAGAGGGATCGTTGCGGACGGAGAATGAGTCGTTCACATCGTCCATATGCTGGTTGAGGGTGTCGGTATGATAGTGTATTCGGTGGTGCGGTTGAACCACGGGAAACGGTGCAACCGTCGGATACATCTTTGGTTGCTTTGATTCAAGAATGGGAATCGGAATACCTTGGGGCCGACCAGCGACAAGGGTATCACCGAAGACTCAGCACGTCAAGTCAACATTCAACAATCATCCTTGAAACGTTTCCGACACCTCATTATGTGACGCCCGTGAAGCCAGTTTTGAGTAGTTCAGCCGGTTACTTTTAGGTTGCGCCAAGGAGTTCAGAACAGCGTCATCGACTGCAAAGTGAAGCAGTGTGGATAGGGAAGGATATGTGATAAGAGGGAAGTGAATATAAAATTTTTTTTTATTAAAAAAAAAAACCAGTAATCCAGAGATCCGAGACGCAAGGGAGATAGAATGTCTAGACGATGCCGGTGTCCGAGACGGCCAATCACAGGGAATCTTGGCAAGTGCGAGGGGTAAATCAATAATAGACTAGAGATATCAGATCAAATCCAAATGAGGGAAGATGGGTAAAGGAGAGTAGTAGAGGTAGAGAGAGGTCAAGAAGTAGAGAAGAAGATTCAAAAGGAAAGAAGTCCCAATGCGAAGAAAGTCAGAAAGAACAAGGTTGAAGGTGAGAAAGCGAGGGAAGTGGACACGGTGGATTCCGGTGGGGGAAGAAAAAAAAAAAGGGAACAAAAAAAAGGACGAAAATGATCGAAAAGCAATAAATCCAGTTCAACTTGTAGTCGAAAGATCCTGATTATTCTATATCGTGTTACCTAAATCGATGATCTCCTTCCTTTCTCTCTTTCTCTCCCAAAGATAAATATCAACCCTCAAATATCCACTTGATCCAACGGCTCTCCATATATCCAATCCGAGTGGATCATTGGTTCCATCACGGCGACTAGTGATCGGTGACGCCCCCGCCGGTGATCGAGTCGAGCCCGTTCTCTGTTTCTGTGGGCTTTGAGACTTGGCTGAACTTAATGAAATTGACGAAATGTCTGTCTTGAATCTTGAACTGGACTTAATACCTGGATAGCCGCTGAAATGTCTTTCTCTCTTTAATTAAGATCCTTTTGGGAGGGAGGGGGGGGGGGGGGGTTTTCCCTTTTTCCGTTCT